AAAAATAAGGAATTTTAAATAGTTAATTTGATATTAATATCGATATATTTTTGTCAATTTTTTATGATATCTTCAAATTTTATAAAAATAAAAACATCATCATTTTTTCAAAATCACATAAGACCATATTATAACATCGTCTGAGATTAAGAATAAAATGAAATATTAAAATCAAGATGTATCTCGCTGCATTGCGCGAGTACCCTTCTAGTATTTTATAATATAATTAAAATAAATATTTAATAATAATATATTAGTACAAACAAAATATGTGAGAGAGGACGCATTTTAAAATCTCATAAATCCAATAAACCTAAAATTAGAATAAATTTAATTTTATACAAAAAAATGGCAACATCATATAATTAGTATTTGTTCCTGTGTCATGGCTAGTCTTCTGATCTCTTGTTATGAAAGGACTCGAGTAAGTAGCTAGTGTTCTGTATCTTTCTCTTCCTGTTCGTGTCTATAATTATTACAGAGAAGGAAAACATAGCTAACTTAACTTGGTAGAGTTTGCAAATTGAATAGAAGAGGAAAATCGGATAAAAACGCAAATTGCGATGGTAAATTTGTATTAAATCAACTCTAAAGACTAAAACCAAAAATATCATAAAGGAATAGGGACAAAAAAATGAAATTTATAATCCAATATTCTAAAGCAACACTAATCCAATAATCTCGAAATCAACTTAAAAAAACTATAGAAATTATTGATAGCTTATAATTTTGAGTTTATAAAGAGTTCAAAAATCCAATATTTTGTCCATGTAAGACGGGTAGTTATAAACTAAAAAGGTTAGGGAAGACTAAGAACTAAGGGGTTTCGAGGTTTTGGTTGATCATGTCCGGATTCATGATCCTCGTATGTGGAGAATCCAAACACTAGTATTTTTGTGGTGTTTTGGCTACGTTCAATGTAACACACTATGGCAATTATATGTATTTTTAACATTTTCATATATAATATTTAACGTCTTGTTTTAGAGTTTTAGCATGTCTTAATTATATGTTATAACTTTGGATGGTGTATTTTCACTGTATTTGAAAATATATAAGAGATCACGTTCCAACACTGGTGATGATTAGTGACAGATTATCGATGATAGTGGTATGCATAGGTTGGAGATTACGAATTCAATCTTTTTCGATTATTCACGTGCTCCGACCCATATACATGTATAAAATCAACCATAAAGTACACAAAATAACCATTACAATTGAAACATCAACATCATATCCACCATACAAAACGGAAACTAGCACCGGTTAACTAATGGTTGATCATCGTAGCTAGTGATCTAGATCCCGAAGTTGCCTCAGATTCATCGGAGATATATATTTTGGGTCGCCATCCAGCAATTGCTTGGCGATGAGCACATTCGCAGCTTCGCTAGGGTGATAAGGATCCCAGAATACATGTTTATCTCTGTCCGTACACAAAGTCGATGTTGGACCACATGGTATTATCCCTGCATACTGACCACCATTCCCGCAGCACGCTTTACTCGCCGTTTTAAACCCTACAACGATTAATTTAATACCATTTAACATCGATCCATTGATAATATATAAAGCGTATATGCATGTGATTGATCGATATTATTCCCACCGTATTTGGCATAGTTGGTGATGAGCTCCATGACTAAGTCGTACACGTTGGCATGAACAAAAGTAGCTCCGGGGAGATTATCGTTCATTTGTGCAATCAAATCCTTCAATTTAGAATTGTATCGAAGTGCGAGTTGATTCGGCAACGCCACACATTCGTCCTCGTTTAACTGATTGATCGTCTTCTGATACGGAATGCATCCTATCGGCCCCACATTTCCGATGATGAATTTTCGTGCATCCAATTGATAAAGTCTCTGCAATCAATTTTATGCATGAAGAAACCATACAAGAAGTGAGATTTTTACTACATCCGAAGTGGTTAGAAAACATGAGACTTACAGTAAGCTGAGACCGGAGGTGACTAATAAGATCATCCACGAAACCGTCGGGGCTCTGTGAAACCCTAGCTCCGATCGAGAGAACAGGAAGCAAATAATTGTTGAGAAAGTCGTTAGACCCAATCGACACTGAGAAGATTGATTTCTTCATGATGTGTTCCTTCGCTTTCGATGCACCCAGTAGTTTATCAATCTGTTTCCTTGTGATGTTGAAATAATCGATCTGGATGTCCATTGATAATCGATTAACCTGTAAAAACACATCAGATTCATTAGCATCAACAGAACCACCAATCTGCATCAATTTTACCCAGCTTACAACGTACGAAAATTCTTCCGGTGGCGTTCATAATCCCTCCACCGCCGGAGGCATAATTCACACCGTGTAATATAGCTTCTCCGGTGGAATTTGGATCCAAAAACGGCACCGCATAGTATCGTTGGCCTAATTCTTCGCCTAAAAAAGAAAACCGTAACAACATTTAGTTAATTAGTGCAAAAATCGTCCATCAACTCAACAGAACACGAGTAATGGAGTTTAGGATCATACGTACCGACGATGTCTCCGATGGTTCTTCCGTTAGTGTAACGGCCGGTAGGTTTGCCTCCGGACGGTTTAAAATCAATCCCGTTAGGTTTGATGTTAGCTCTAGATAAAGTCGGCAAAAAGTTATTATTTCCGGCATCCACCAAAGAATCACCGAAGATATAAGAAGCTCCCAAAATACTCCCACCGTCGTTATGGTTGCCATCAGCAGCAGCAACAGTGAAGACAATGAAAAGAATTAAAGCTGCAATAGGATGATGGCAATCCATGAATTGATGGTGATGAGTGATAAAAGTGAGAATGGAAAGTTGAGGAGATTTATAGTAATTTGTAAGAATGGGTGTGTGTTTGGTAAGAGAGGTGAGGGAGGTTGTTGATCCACCATAGCCATTGTCTTTACCTATTTTGACTAACTGGAATACCAGGTTTTAGAAATCATCCATCACTCTTCTGGAGATACCTCCAGTTGCTACTCAGTCTTAATTTAGTTGATAACATCAATTAACACATAAATTGCACCAACAAATAAAAAAAACAAAATTTCAAATGCCTCCACCAATTACATACATACACATTTTAAAACAAGATGTAAATATTAATTATTTTGTATCATGGATCTCTCTTAATCATTAACCGTCCGAATTTCATTATAAACAATTATATTTCATTTTGCACTATATCATGAAAGTTTCTTAGGGGCCATTTACCAAATGCTTAATTGGGTAAGTGCTTACCAGGTAACATTTCCTTATCGGATGAATATGGAAAGAACCATGAATCTTACCCGGTAAGAGCGAGGCAAGAACCTAGAGTCTTACCCGGTAAATGAGAACAATGACTCTTACCACGGTCAGCTCTTATCAGGTAATTTGTTGCATAGAAAACCGTTTTTTGTTAACTAAAATCTTACCCGGTAAGTAAATGATAGTGTTGAATGTTACCATTGGATGCTTATCGAATAAGTGTTTGGTAAACGGCCCCTTAATCATTCTGCACCAAATCATTCAGCAACTGCCAAACAGCCTCTAAGTTTATTCGTAATTAATGAATTTAAATTTTCACTTATTTTTCAAAAAAAATATTTAAGGTGACATTTGTTTTTTAAGAGGTGTTAAAGTCTGAAGTCTGATTTCACTTCTGATTTATAAGAGGTGGTCCTTAAGTCTGAAATCTTGATCAGTAAAATTGTTTGTTTTTACGTCTGCAGTCTGAAATCTGAATCAGTCAAACTAGTGTAAATATATAAAAGATAAATAGTTTTTTTACAAAAGTTTAAAAAATGAATAGTTTTGCTAACAAATCTCTTCCGGCTCCCAAAATAAGAACCATATGATAGAGGGCGGATTAGGATTAAGAGGTATTAAGTGATACATTTATCACTTAAAATTTCAGAGGATATTTTTAAAGCTTTTATTTTAAAAATAAAACAAACGCTTTTAACACTCAAACGTCTGAACGAATCAGACTTCAAAACTATTAAGAGATAATTTAAAAAAAACAAATAGGTACTAAGTTCTGTTACATTGTTTTTGAAAATAGAATAAAAGTTTTTTTTGTTAAGAGTTATGCACATGCATTTTTTTTGTAATTAGAAAAGTCATTTAGCCGGTTCAACCTATTCATTCGGGTTCTTTCAGCATGCCAACTACCAAGAACCGGCATACCACATGAATGAGCCCGGTTTCACAATGGCATTCTCTGAAATTTTTGTAATAATGCCACGTGTATGACAATTGACACCAAATATATATTCTTGATCAATTTACATGCCATGAACAAGGAAGTAAGAGCAAATTACGTTTTTAGTCCTCTTAGTTTGTTGAAGATTTTTATTTTTATTCCTTTAATTTTAAAATTACGATTTTCATTTCTATGAATTATAACTCATTATTATTTTTGTTCTTAACTAAGATTTGAACTTTATTGTTTCTTTCGTTTATATGGTTTTTAATTTATTTTTATTTTAGTCATGATATTAAAAATAATGTTTATTCTAGGAATAAAAATAAAAATGAATTGTAAACTGTAAAAACAAAAACCATAATCTTAAAACTACACAAACAAAATCCACAAATTCTAACAAACCACATGAATTGAAAAAGTATAGTAAAAACAAATAATCCAACAAAATACCAATTATTAAATAAAAGCATTTGGATTTGGACGATGAATATTATTTTAACATGGTATATGTTTTATGAAACATTATTGACATGAGTATAATTAAATAAATAATTAATGAAATAAATTAAGCATGCCATGGAGGAATTAAATAAGTATATGTATACGTATATAATAAATCAAACATACACAAGTCGAACAAAAAGAAAAAAATCAGTACTCATTTACCGACCCCGTGTGACATCTCAAATGCAAAAGCAACAAGTTATTATCAGTAACTTATAATCCATTTTGAATTTATGGTTGAAGTTATTGATAACCTACAATTTTGAGTTTTTATTAGAAGCCTACTTCTCTATCATGTAGAAGCTAGTTGTTACATCTCGATCTCGACCTCGACCAAACTCCTCCTTAATTAAATTATGCTAAAAATACTTCATTTAAAACCTACATTTTTTTTTACCTTTTTCAAATTATTACATATGATTTTAGGAGTAAAACTTTCTAAGTAACTCCCTGCATGTTACTTAATGACAACAACTATTTATGGGGTTAGGGGTGAGATTAAAAATGATCAAGGGTCCAAATTCTTTCTTGTGTTTCTCGGTTTAACTTTTATTTTCACACAATACTTTGTTCACAATTCTAACAATTTTATATATATCCTTATCATGTAACTTATTTTTATAAAAGCTCAGTCTATTACACAGGGGCTGAATCTTTCAAGCCCGTTTTTCAATAAGCAAAAAAACTCAATCTTTTGCAGGTTAAGGACGGGCTAGGCTTTGGGGTTGAAAGAAAGACGAATCGTGTTTTTCCATATTAGGCTTTAACCAAGCCTTGAAAAAAAGGTTGGCTTGATAGAGCTGTAAGGTCAGTCTTGGACTTGGGCTCGGGTTTACTAGATTGGGTTATTTTTCTAATTAGACTTTGGGCTGTCATGAGGCTATGGAGATAACAACTAGGAAAATTCTCAATGGTCCTAAGGTATTTGAACCGCCTAACACTTGTTTGTCGGTTTAGGTTGCATTCAAGGGAAAAGATGACCAGATTATAAAATTGGTGGTGTTCATGTACTTTGTAACGTGCGATCATATGAAGCCATTACTGCATACATTTGGTTGCAAAATTCAACTATATAAACAAAAAGGTAACCAAAAACTAAGACATGTATCATATACTTGAATTAGTTCATATTTCTACACATATGTACTATGTCTATCAGGCGAAAAATCATGTGAAAAGTGTAAGAAGGGATATGGACCATTGTTTTTATAATTAATATATTATGTTACAATAAATAAATAAAAATAAATTTAATAACAGAAAAGAAAAGAAAAGACAAAGGTAAAAAGGAGTAAAGGCAATGCACCATCAAAGAAGCTTCTCCCACCCTCCAAAGTCCATATAAAGCTCCATAATCATCAACATTCAACGCCCACCTTCGACTTAAAAAAGGGAATTACTAATTGGTGTACCCACATTTTTTGGCTAATAATAAATGTAATTAACAAAAATAATTACCATTCTTTAGAGTCATTTATCAAACGTTATTGAGCGCCTACTGGTAAGAGCAGAACCCTCACTTGTCTTATTAGGTAATATTCTCGATCATCAAAATAGATTGTTGATAAACGTTTTTTGCCCGGTAAACGTTTCCTCACTTATCGAGTAAGATTCAATCCAATTATAATTGTGTATCTATATGTGGTCGGCCATTCGAAGAGACATGATAAGCTAGTTGTAATTCGATTTGTCAGATGACTTTTGCACACCTTACTCTTAATCCTTTTCTCTCGATCTATCTTTGTTTTAATCTTCTTTTGAACATTATTGACTTTAACTCGAAACTAACAAGACTAAGGCGTCAATTATCAAAAGCTTATTAGGGAAACGCTTACTTTATCGGTTGAGTATGACAAGACTGAGAATCGTATCTAGTAAGAGGCATGTCAACCAGGGGCGGACTTACCATGTAAAAGGTGGGGGGAAGGACCCCCATTAAAAAATTTAAAAAAAAATGAATTTTCCTAAGGTTAAAAGTTGTCTTTTTTACTTTCTATCATGGTTCTCCTCTTTAATTTCTTGTTAGGGCCCCCACCAACTAAAGAAAGTATCTTGAAATCAACCAAAAAACTGAAAAGTTCCTCAAAATCGATAAAAAAAAAAACCTTCAAAAATCCCTCGAAATAATCCAAAAAAACTTCAAAAATCTCTTGGAATGATGGAATTAGGCTTAAAACACATCGGACGACTTGGTGGGCGTTTAAGCTACCTTCAAGGTGCCCCCACTAAACCAAAATCCTGGATCCGCCACTGATGTCAACAATCGAGGTTTTTACCCGGTAACTAAAGGAGATGACTTTTATCAGGTTAGCATTACCAGGTAAGAAAAGCTTACAAACAATCAATTATGATGGCTGAGAATGTTACCTAACAAGGTAAGAGAGGGTGAGAACTCTTACCGCTAAGTATTTATCTGATAAGAATTTGATAAACAACTGAATCCTCAAACTAAACATAAGTTAGCCTTTGCTAAACCGCCAAATACAAATTCTGAACTAAGTTCACATTCCAAGTTCCATCTCAAGAATTGCAGCGGAACTTAAAGTATAACTGTTGAAATTTATTACAAAAACTAGAAACAAGTTCAAGACGACTAGCTAGCTAAAAGAATAAGCCCTCACTTGAACCTCTATCTCACACTCTCCTTTTGCGGTTGTTAAGAGTTCTCGACATAATATTTTTCTAAAAAGGTTTTCAGTTTTATAAAAATAAGGGTTAAAACAAAAGTGCAGTGAATTTCATCATAGCATATTTTTAATAGAATTAAGCATAAAAAATGAAAATTCCACTTTATAATAATGAGGGTATTTATTAAATTACATAGCTTCTCCTACAAGTAAAAGAAAAAGGAGAATCACCCACACCCTCAAAGGCATCTGCAACTTCCGTATCTACTTTAGGTTGTCAAAAAGGTGGAGTTGAAAATAAAAAATTCATATATTTTTTATTAAATTAATTAATAAGAACTAGAAGGGTATTTGTAAGATATATCTTGATTTTAATATTTTATTTTTATTCTTTATTTCAGTCGATATTATAATATGATCTTACGTGATTTTGAAAAAACGATTGATATTAGTATTAAATTAACTATTTAATTTTTTTATTTTTTGTGTAACTTTTTAATTTAAATTTTTAATTATAATTTAATTTAGGTTAAATAATAAAATAATTTATATTTGRTTTAATAATATAATTTTTTTATAAAGATAATAATTAATTATTTTGATAGAATTCGATAATTATCCTAATTATATTTTAGATTTTTTTATATATTTTAAAATGAGATGTTTATCTTCTATTTGATTATGTTTATCTACAGTTAGTTAAACGAAAGCTTTAATAAGTTGTAATTGTAATCCTGAATTTTAAATAATATGTATTAATATACAATCCGTTATGCATAAAAAAAAATGGTTTTTAAGAATTTTTTGATTAAAAAAAACCCCAAAATCCAAAATGATCTATATGTGTGTGCATTCTTTTCTTCTTTACAAAGCAAAGGTTCTATGCGGCTAGCTACCATCTTTCCTCTATAATTTTGGCTTTAAATTTTGAATCGAATGGGTTTGATTCCAAAATGCGTTCATTGCTTTTGCTTTTTTCAACCGAGGCTTTTGTAGTTAAACCCTTTGTTCATGGAAAATTTGAGGGGTTCCACACATAAGAAGCAAAAACCCCATCTTTTCCCTTCCATTTCAGAACCTTTCTGGGTTTGAAGCTTCAAGATTGATTCATGCATATCTCACTTCACTGTGCGTGTCTAATTTGTGACAAGAAAAGCAGAAGGAAAGATGGGTCCGAGGAGATTAAAAGAAACCCATCAGACGTTAGAAATTCGCAAGAAAATAAGCTCAGAACTGCTCTTCAACAAGCATCTGATCATGGGTCTCTTGTTAAACCCAAAAATCTGAATGATTCAGAGGCTGCTGACATGGAAGACAGGAGTTTGGGAAGATCAAGATCACTAGCAAGACTACAAGCTCAAAAAGAGTTCCTAAAAGCAACTTCTCTAGCTGCAGATACAACATTTGAGACCCAGGATTCCATTACCAATCTTGATGAAGCTTTCTTAAAGTTCCTAACCATGTACCCAAAATACAAATCTTCCGAGAAGATCGATCAGTTGAGGGTTGATGAGTATTCACACTTGGCTGATAACGATTCCAAGGTGTGTCTTGATTATTGTGGATTTGGGTTGTTTTCATTTCATCAAGTCATTCATTATTTGGAATCTTGTGCAATTAACTTGTCCCCAATAACCTCAAATTTGAACAATCATGCACTCTATGGTGGTAGGGAGAAAGGTACAGTTGAATATGATATAAGGACTAGAATCATGGATTACTTGAACATCCCTGAAAGTGAATATGGTCTTGTGTTTACAGTTAGTAGAGGTTCAGCTTTCCGACTTCTAGCTGAATCATACCCTTTTCGTACTAACAAGAAGTTATTGACAATGTTCGATCACGAAAGCCAGTCGGTGAATTGGATGGCTCAGAGTGCTAAAGATAAAGGTGCCAAGGTTCACAGCGCTTGGTTTAAATGGCCTACACTTAAACCCTGTTCGACCCATCTCAAGAAACAGATTTTAAACAAGAAAAGAAGAAAGAAAGATTCATCTACTGGCCTTTTCGTGTTTCCGGTTCAATCAAGAGTCACTGGTGCCAAGTATTCGTACCAATGGATGGCATTCGCTCAACAGAATAATTGGCATGTGTTGCTTGATGCAGGTGCATTGGGTCCGAAAGACATGGATTCACTCGGGTTATCTCTTTTTCGGCCTGATTTTATCATTACGTCGTTTTATAGAGTTTTCGGGTTCGACCCAACTGGATTCGGGTGTCTTCTGATCAAGAAATCGGTGATCAGAAGTCTTCAGAATCAATCTGGTCATGCTGGTTCCGGTATAGTGAAGATCAGTCCAGTCATTCCTTCGTACTCGAGTGATTCCATGGCTGGATTTCCTCAATCGGGCAGGACCCAAGATGATGAAGTTGACGGAAAAGATGAAGTAATACCTGAAAACCATACCGGAATTCAACTACCAGCTTTTTCCGGCGCATTCACTCCTTCTGAAGTTAGGGATGTATATGAAACCGAAATGGAACATGGTAACAGCACTGACAGAGATGGTGGCAGTCCTGTTTTTGAAGAAAACGAAATATTTTCAGACGTCTTGAAGAGTCCCGTTTTTACTGAAGAAGAATCACCTGAAGACTCGATGTGGATTGATTTAGGACAGAGTCCATTTGGATCGCAACCTGTGTTGGCAGGCTCGCATTTACCACCACCCCCTTGGTTTACACGCAAGAATAGAAACAACAGAAAGTTCGATCCACAGCCTCATGAAAGCAAGATTCTGTCATTCAACAATGCCAAGAACGTAAACAAAATTGAAGTGAAAGCTCAAGATAGTCCAGAAATACAGGAAGAATCCGAAATCGAGAGTTCTGCCATTCGAAGAGAAACAGAAGGCGAGTTTAGGTTACAGGGAAGACGGGTATCATTCGATCTCAACGATAACCATGATTACATCACTGACGAAGAATATCAAGAATCCGGCGATAGGGAAGAACCCGAAGTCATATGCAGGCATCTTGATCATGTAAACATGTTGGGTCTGAGCAAGACCACATTCAGGCTTCGTTTTTTGATCAATTGGCTCGTGACTTCGTTGCTTCAACTGAGATTACCTGGTTCAAACACAGAAGAAGATGCAGTTCCTCTGGTTCACATTTATGGTCCAAAAATCAAGTACGAAAGGGGTGCATCTGTGGCGTTTAACATTCGAGACAGGATGATGGGAGTAATCAGTCCAGAAATGGTCCAAAAGATGGCTGAAAGAAATGGGATGAGTGTGGGTATCGGCATTCTTAGTCATGTGAAGATTATACAGAGCAAGAAGCAAAACATGGATGTTGGTGATACAACAGTTTGCAGACCAATGGAGAAGGAAGATGGAGGAGGGTTGGTGAGAGCTGAAGTGGTGACAGTTTCACTTGGCTTTTTGACTAATTTTGAGGATGTTTATAAAATGTGGGTTTTCGTAGCCAAATTTCTTGATCCATCTCTCATACGAGAGTATGAACTTAGACTGTCATAGAAGGCAAAGAATCGTGAAGCCCAGGTATGATTTCTACATACAAGTTTCAAAAATGATGCTATATTTTGAATGTTTTAGTGACAGAACGGACTCTACGCTTTTCGCTTTCAAACCATTCAATTCTTTTAAAGGGTAGCATATAATTTAAAATTTAATTATAAAAAAGATATTATCTCATAATTATTATTTTTTTATTAACATAAATATTCAATCCAATATAATTAATACTATCAATATGAAACATCTCAATTAAATTTTTAAAGAAAGAAATAATATTTTATTTGATGAACGAAATATTTAATAATATAATCAACGTTTTAATCTACAAGAATAAAGAATTTATTTAAAATCAAATTTATTTTTTTTTATTTAAAAATTTTGAACCTTCATTCTCTATGTTAGAAGACGTTGTTAAAGATGATGATGTTATTCTCTCTTTGAATGCAGTAAGTTATTGTCGTTTTCATTAACAATGAAAGAAGTAAACAATTAGTGAACCAAAGATTCCCTTTCTAGAGACTTCATTTAATGCATCTCTTGTTCGAAAGAGACCTCCATGGCTCCATCTCTCTCCCGACATGCATACCTCTCCATGGTTAATCAAACACTTTTTGACTTACCCGTATGTGAGTTTTTAGTCTTTTAGGAGGTCAAATGATCAAACTTCACCAAACATGAGGAAGATGTATGAATTTATTTGTTCTATTTACCGTATCTAAATATTATATACTTCAAAAAATTATTTACCTCGATGGTTAATCAAAGGGTCTTTGATCTAGTAAAAATAAGTTTTTAGTGTTTGAAGTAAAAAGAAGAAATACTTATACCGGTTTATCACCGGTAATTAGGAGTTTTTGATAAGTCATTCTCTTCTAACTTGCTAACTTATTTCGGTGTGATAACGATAGTAAGGAGTTTTAGTTTTTGGATGGGAGAGAAAAAAAAATATTTATCGACTAATTACGTTTTGATACCACCATAAACTAATCCAAACATTTTTTATAAAACTCTGATTTAACACCATATAAGTTAATAAACATTTTTAAAGAAAAATTGTTTTCAATAAGCAACTATTGAACACCCCCTTAATCTCAACCATAAAAAAAAAACTAACTCATTTTGAACTTTTGAGATTGTTTTATTTTTATTAAATATAATAAAAAAAATGGATTACGATAAGAGTAGGAGGACGTGCTAATGGGATACCGTATACCCCCATGCAAATACGTCGTCTGCCTTCATGTTATCCAATGTTCATATATTATATTTTTCTAAAAATTAGCTTTGAAGATTCGTATAATTTGAATTTACCAAATTCGTATAGAATTTGCTACAAGTATTAACATTGTGTTTTCGTATTTGAGAAGAAAAAAGAAAAATAAAAAACGAATTCTTTTTATTTGTTTTATTTAAAATAGAATCATGAAAATATTTAAAAAGAATTACATCCAATTTTAACACTTTCTCTATTTTAAATGTTAATAATATAATATAAGTCATTTTTGTCTCTTTTTCCATTTATTTTTAATTGGTTGGTTAGAGGTTTTGATCTTGAGAATAATAAAATGGAGTTTTTGGCATTTAAAAAAAAATAATATTATCTCTATTTTTAAGAAAAATATGGAGCAAGAAAAACTCTAAAAAATTCCAAAATCTTTGTTTTAAAAAAAATTGTTAAATATGTTGTAACAAAATAAAACCTCACTTAAAAAAAGATTTTATGTTAAAATAACTAAAAAAAGAAAATAAAACGATAATTTAGATTTTTTGAAATGACATTTCTAATAAATAATATAACAAAAGTGATAGGGGGTTTCCGTTGGTAAGTTCGAAGGGACTTGAAATAGAACGCGGGAGGCAGGGCAGCATCAATCAAGTAGACGACGGAAATAGTAACGCCAGCCTGCCACACATTGGAACTCTGCTTTGTTTTAAAACAATTCCAATTCCAATTCCATTTCCAATTCCCATTCCCATTCTCATTACCATCACCAAGAATGGAATTCCACTCTAATTTTATCAAAATCATTCTCTCCCACCGCTCTCCATCTACAGGCATCGTAAGTTCACCTTCTGATTCTCTTATAACATTGCATTACATATATTACTTGCAAGTTTTTTTTATTTCATCTTTTAAAACAGAGGATTCCCAACAAGTTTACAGACAAGCATGGAAAAGAGCTCTTAGACAGGGTCATACTCAAGCTACCAGACCATGATGTTTGGCAACTTCACTTATTCAAGTCAAGACGTCAGATTTGGCTCAAAAATGGATGGTCGGAATTTGCACACCATTACGGTTTAAGGTTTGCCACCTCTTGATGTTCAAATACCAAGTATCTGCTTCAACTTGCTAATCATGGAAGACCAAAGACATGGGAGGTGGTTGTGCATAATACTCATTTGAGGGGTGCTGGTTGGATGAATTTTATGAAAGAAAATGGTATTGCAGTTGGGGATGTATGTGTTTTTGAGCTCATTCACAAACACCAAAACGTTCTAGCTGTTACTGTTACCATCCTTGGATCAATAGTTCACTATTTTGTACTGACCCATCTGGTCTTCTTACATGACTTGAATAGTAACCATTATGTAAAACTGAACTTGCTCCCTTCCAGTAAAAATTAACTTAACTTTCTCGTAAGAGTTAGACAAGCAAATAAAGACGATCTAGATAGATACACTTGTATTGCCTAATATTCGATTCATTTTCGACATTCCTATAATACAACTCAATCAAACGCCTAATGAATTGAATCAAAACATACCCTGACACCTGCCTTTCTGTTCATGCAACCAGCCTTTTATGTACATTTTTCTGCTAAATCTGGGTTGGGTTGGGTTGGATCATTCGGAGCTTGAACTTGCTTCTGTACTATACATAGAATATTCATTCAAGCTGAAGTTTGGTTTCTCTTCATCCCACTTCTGTATCTCCTTTGCATATTTGAGACATTGATCAACACTGTTGGGCTCCAAACCTTTAACCACCGATACAAACAGTTTACGACCAGTAAGCGATGAATACAGCTTCTTGAACTTCACAGCAACATAATGTGAAGCCATTTGTCCCATGGAAGGGCTATGGTTAATGTTGGTGCTACTGATGTTTTTGTTGTGGCTGTTGCGGCTCACTATTGGTCGAAAATCACCAAACCATTCGCAGCAAGTTAGAGGAACACGTTCGAGTCTTTCCTCAAACACATCAAATTTGTTTAGTACTAGAAGAAACTCCATTTGATCATACGTCGGGTGTGTCACGATGCTTTTGAAAAACTTCCTGTTTAGCAACATCTTGTTCACCAAATTCCCATCTCCATCCTCGGCATACTGATCAAAATCACTCAAGGAAACACAGAAGATGACAACTCGAACATCTTCAAACATATCCAGCCATTTGCAGTTTTCGCCCAACCCTCTTGCTTGCACTCTAATTAGTTGGAACCTGATTACATTTGCCAATTATTATGTTTTTTTAAGAAAGAAAGTGGTAAAAGAGTATGATTTGTTAAGCCAAATTCATGGTTTCTAAACGAACCTAAGTAGAGAATTATGTTGATCAGCGGTGTCATTGCTTTCATCAGGCGATAACTGAGGGAATGAGAAGTTGACACAAGAAAGCCCGTTTGAAGAAGTAACATGCTCGGCATACAGGATATCGACATCTGAAGGTATATAGTCTGCTCTCAATATGTTGACAGCCTAAGAATTCAGACACACAATAAGGCATTAAAGCTGCTTCTTGTTAACAAAGTTATATAATTTTCAAGCATAACATGATAATTGATATCTTCTGTTTACCTGCTCCAAGAAATAACTAGAAACACTGGGGAGTGTATCCAATTCACTTCGCCTCTTGTATGTGGCCTGCATTGCTGGATGATTCCACAGTTCCTCAACGACTGGTGCATATTCCCGAGTGGCAGCTGGGAATATGTCTTCCAAATTACCAGCCACCATAGTTTTAAGAAGCCAGTCAGAAAACATTTTCAACCTTGGGCAGATGGAATAGATGGTTTTCTCATCGTCGGCTCCTGTCATTGACCAGAAAATTCTTTCAAGATTTGTCGAGTAATACAGAGGTATAGGAGCAAAATTAAACTCCAGTAAATCCCTACCAGTAGAACCAGATGTATCGGAAGATTGATTTTTCTTCATCTCATTGTATGCTTCATCTTCAAAACGCTCACGCCCTTCAAGGAGTATTCCGAGGTAGCCATAGACGTTGCTCTGGATTATGAACCTGATATTTTCTCGTTCTTCCTCGGTGAAAGGGATCTCTTTATACAGAATTTTCGCCTGATAACAACATTTCATCAGGTAAAATACATGTACTTATTGTATGCTAAGCAACATAAATTTGAAGACCATAGCCCTAATTATTGAACAAGAATACCACATCCAAAGTCTCAAAGATATCCATGTACATAATAAATGGACTAATGTTGGAATTACCTGCTTGAAAATGGTACTTGTACCAGATCCACCACATCCAATTAAAAGAAGTTTCTGCGGCAAGCTCTGATCAAAATAGTCTGGCACCGATTGACCAAGTGTGTTACTCAATTGCTCTCCAGTAGGATAAATCGACTTCGATGGAACTGGAAGTGACAGCACTGCACAAACCAGCTTCGTTCCAGCCTGAAAACCAACTTAATGTTTTTAATAACCATTCAAAGCTCTTATGAACACACAAACATCTTCGTAAAAGACTCACCTTTCCCCAAATATATCCTCTGGTGTTTTTCTGTCCCTCTTCCTGATACGAACCATCATCATTCACCCAAAAGTGTGGGTTTCCAGCACACTGGACTCCAGATAGCTACAACATTTACAACAGTCGTTTTACCATATGCTGTAAAACTATCTAGTATTTCAAAACAAATATCAGGTTCAGAAATACAAACAAACCTGCAACATTCTTAGCTCAACTTTTGTTATCTCACGGCCATTTATAAAAACTCCGGTGTTCCCATTGCTAGCATCAGACAAAATTGGGGCCCCAACGTTTAGATGGGGACTAATAATCTTTGAAGGCTTCTCGCCTTCCTGTTTAAAGATATAGATCAAAACAAACCTTAATTTCCATGTAATCACAAGAAACAGTAACCATGTAATTTTTTTCGAAAGGCTAGATCTTTACCTTTCCCCAAAGACCAGATACTTTATCATACCAATAATTGCCAGGTTTAAGCTTCTTCGGAGGATTCGGGCAGCTTTGCAGTATAGCCAGCTCCTCGTGACAAAGAGGTTTGCCGTTTACACAAACATACTCTGAGGGCAATTGATTTACAGCGCATAGTTTCTCAGCCTTCATTATCTGTCTAACCTCCAAGCTATTAAGTAACCGCTTTAGCATTCGAGAACATTTCCCCAATTTATCCCTCTTTGATTCATCTATCGAATAGCCGATGCAAGTAACACACTTTCTTCCCTCTGGCATAGATCCCATTGCTCTAAGCACACAGTTAACACAATATTTGGCATTACAAACCATGCAGACCTCCTTCTCCGTGAACCGGTTGCCTTTAAGACATCGATAGCAAGCCCCTTTTCTTGTTTTCACTTCTGGTTCTCTCTTTAGTCGAGCAATCTCAGGTTCAGGTTGACTAAGATCCTCAAGAAAATCCTCATCCTCAGACTCAATATCACGAAACGTAATAACTGGGTTGTTTCTTCTTAAATCACAAACAGATTCCTCTTTACAATCCCCAGTCTTGAGAGACGACACCCGTGAAGAAGGATACTCAAAGCTCAACCGTGAGCCACTAGATACCCAATCAGGATGATTCAATTCATTGAAATCTAGGCTTTCTTTGCAAGCATTGGAAGCTCTAAAAGCAAGCGAATTTCCAGAAAAATCCCTTGATTTACCAAAACTATCTGAGAAGCCCAAAGTACCTGAACTCTCACCCCTGCCTGATAACTCATATGAATGGTCATGGCTCAAAGAAGATGAGCCAAGGCCGGCCGAGCTGTTAATCATATCCAAAAACTCGCCTGAGCTTATAAACACATCACGATTACTGGAGCTTCGCTCCTCAAAACCACCGTCATGAGCCGGAGAAACAGTGGTTTCAGTTTCTAGGTCTTTGGAAATGGAATCATTCCCATTACAATTTTCCTCATTTCTAAAGGAAATCACAGAAGTTGGAGAAATAATAGCTTGCGTAGTACCTAATTTGGCGAAGTTGGTGGTGATGTCGGATGCAAGAATGGGTTGTACAACAGGCATAGAGGGTTTACCAGTAGTGTTGATAAGATTATCAGAGAAACATGAGTTGGGAAGCACAGCAGCAACAGGAATCTTATGAATATCAATTGGAAGAGCTCGTGGAAGATCATGATGTGGTATTGGAGGACCTTCGTATTCTAAGGCAAACGAGTAGGGTACTCGACCTTCGGTAGTAAGACCAACCATTGTAGTGCCTTGAACAGGCATTAAACCAAATCCCCACAAGAATTAATGAAGAAAAAAACCCTAATCTGAAGGAAATAGGGGGAGGAAGAAGGATGGGGATTGAAGAAGAAAATGGAATTTGGGAAAGTGAGGAGGAGAAGGGAAGCGTGAAAAGGACAGAAGAAAAGCGAGAAGAATAAGCATCAGCACTGTCATTGAGACAAGAGAATTTTGTCCTTTTTCATCGCCATTGGAATCCATGCTACCCATCTCCATCTCCATCTTCGATTTTCTTTTTTCTTTTTTCTTTAAATAAATATATATATATATATATATATATATATTATTGTTTATATATTTGTTTTTCGATATAGAGGCTTTTTAAAATGCAATTCTTTTCAGTCTGCAGACAGGATAAATATATTATAAATATTTTTAAAAAATATTATTATAATCAATTAATTAATTGTAAATATGTGAGATTTGTTATAACTCGTGAAGATAATATGGACTTCAACTAAATCAACAAAATATCATATGAATATCTTATTAAAATATTATTTAAGATTGTATACATTCTGTTCATTTTATGTACATATTTAATTGTGCAAATGTCTATGTTCTAAACAGACAAGAAATAGTAATAAAAATAGAAAATGATTTATATTAATTTTTATTTAATAAATTACAATAATTTTTTTTAATTATATTATTAAATAATAAAATTAACTATCTTGAATTAACATATGATATAAATTTTAAGTTATATTTTCAGATATTTGATCCACAATTTATGTGTTGAACATAAATAAATCATAATAATCTTTTAATTTTGTTTTTTTGGCTCTCAAAAGAAGAGCTGGGTCCTCTTTCCAGCTTTTCTAGGGCAGATCAGGAATTAAAAGATCCAGACCATTACTTCTTTATAAACTTATATTCGATGCAATGGGAGTTGTAACAAGTATTGGGTTTGGTGTGATTTGTAGTGGATATCTCTTTTTCTTTTTTTGGTTTTTATATTTTTGGCGGGGGTTAACAATTGAAAACGGCATGTCGGAGACCCGGACCCGCTGACCAGACCGGGGTCCATGTCGGGTGCAACTTACGTCCGGTCTGAACCATTTCCTCATTTGGAGAGAATATTACTAATTTGCAACTTTTTTTATTTCAATCAATTCCAGTAATTTAAAAATATTTTAACAAACTGTTTGATTATTCATTAAAATATATTATGTTAAAGATAAAAATAATAATCATAAAATACTTATAAACTAAAATCAAAAATACCAATTTTTATGATAAATACCATAAGGCTGGTATCTGATTGGTTTAAACGTAGGCTCTAATGATAAAAAATGCTTAGAGATCTCATGTTCGAATCCAAAGTTAAATAAAAATTTCTTTGTGGCCACGAAGGTTCAAATACGATGACTGCGGGCTACCCGCAGAGCGATCATCCTAGAAGGCTCACAAAGCGGGATCCAAGTTAATCAAAAAACAAAAGAAAACAAATAATGAATCTTTTTATGAATTCATAAACCCGTGTTCTTTAGACAACAATATGTATTTGATAACATTTGATTACACCGAGTATAGAGGTACCCTCATGATACATGTATTGAATCTATGCACCTTTCTAGTGTCTCTATTAGAATCTCACATCGGCTACATTTGGACAAATTTATCTCTGTATATGTTGGAATCTCTTTTCTATTCTCAAAGGCTCTTTTGGAGATTAATATGAGATTTCACATATTCTCATAGTCTCGCCTATTACTACAAATAGGGATGTAAATGAAGCGAGTCGAGCTCGAGTATCGCTATACTTGACTCGAACTCGAAACCCAATTTCCAAACTCGAACTCAACTCGAAAACTCACGAGTAGTGAAAATCAAAGGTCGAATTCGAGTTCGATAACTATTTCTCAAGCTCGAACTGCAACTCAAATCAAGCTCGAACTCGAATCAAGCTCACTCATTGAAATTTATGAAATTTAATTGTCTTTCTCTTATAAATTTTAAAACTCAAAGGTGTTCTTTTAGTTTTTATAATACTAAATGGATCAACTTCAAGCTTTATCATTAAAAGACAAAATTAGAAATTTCATTCACCCCCTCTTTTTTTATAACATTTTTTCTCTCTTCCAATGTGGAACAATTTCACTAATCATTTTTATAGTTTTTATTTGTTTTTTTAATTGTGATTTTAATAGAAAAAACAATTAATTTTTTATAATAAAAAAAGCATGATTTTGTTTAAATATCTAAAAATATAAGACATTTTTATTATTTATATTTTACAATTTTTATCATAAAAATTGGTTATATTTTAAAAGTAATTATATATAAAACAATCGAGTATCTCACGAGCTTTTCAAGTCGAGTATTGGGTAGCTTGACTCGACTTGTTAATATGTTAAGTCGAGCTCGAGTTCGAGCCAAGCCTATTCAAGTCAAGTGTTGATCGAGCAGTGACCGAATCGATCCTAAGTTGTCTCGTATCATTTAAAACCCTAACTACAAATATCTCGATACTTGACCTAAACATGTAGCAAAAAGTCTTGATGCATAAAATATTAAAAAATATTGAACATATATAACATAAAGTTGTGAAACATATGACTATAAGTTGCACGCTCAAATATCGAAAACATTACATAACACCAATAATTAGGGAAGTGCAATGAAACTCACAACCTTTAAGATTAACCTTGATTTTTTTCCTCACTTCCCTTTCTTTCTTTTGGAGAGGTGCCATGAAGAAATTCGATAATAAATTTATTTTGATTATATTGCATAAATGAGATAACAAATAATATATATTAAAAACAAAAATGGACTAAACTCAAATGATTAACAATATGAAACTAAACCTAATTAAAACCATTAATTATTTGAACATAAAACCAAACAATATTGATAATTTGAACTTAAACAATTTCGTATATAGTTTTACATAAATCGATAAAAAGACTCTAAGCATATGTAAATTTGGGTCCCAAAATTTCGAAGGCCCTATTTAAAATTTCACATTTAACATGTTAAGGTACGACCCTACTAAAACAAATGATGTTTCATAAAATAAAATAAAGGAGTTCAAACTTTTCCAGAAATGGTCAAAATTATCATAAATGTGTAATAAACTATTTGGAGAAAATGTTGCTCAAAAATTTTGTACACTTGAGGAAAGGACATCTAAAATGATTTTTGAGTGCAAGTGTTTCTAAAAATCTGAAAATATAAATGTAAAAAAATCTGATTTGATTAGGTTTTAAAAAAAACAAAAATTCCTTTTAATGAATTAAAAAGTATTTCAAACTTTAAAAAAAAATATTTGAATTCAATTCAAATGATTGTAATGGACACAACGATGATGTCAACGTCAAACAAAAATCATATTGCGGTCTTAATTATAACATTATTTAAAAAACGTAAAACAAAACAAAGTTTATAGATTTGCAACCCTTTGGGCATACTTTTTCTTGGATTATATTCCGTCTGTATCAAAATAAGTATCTACAGTTAGAATAGTATATGGTTTTAGTTAACCAAATGACAAATTTACCTTTATTTTATTTTTTTTGAAGACAAAAAAGGAATGACAAGGAGGAGAGCTTCGGTATGGTCATCACCCTCACCAAACCAACCAATAATATTAAACAAAACGATTCAGCAAGAAGATAGACACAAGAGGAAACAAGAATCCACAATAACAAACGAAAACAAAAAGAAGCAAAAAGAGACATCCCCAAACTAAAGCCAAGGCAAAACCCAAGCCTAAGACAAGTAAAGAGACTAAACAAGGTAAGGAGAATAAGACCAACTATCTCAATTAAGATGGAACTTACGATTCCTGTTCCCCATCCAAAGCTTGGAAAAATTTTGAACACCTGGGAATGGGTCTTCACCTCTCTTCTTAGCTTCCGCACCATCCTTAGCATGAAAAATTTCATTCCGCCACTTCCAAAGTTGCCAAAGCGCCACGGCGCACACTGATAAGAAAATCACTCCAACCTTRCGATGAGTACCTAYTTGTTTGATCAACATTGTAAAATCAGACACCGAGGAAAGCCRCGGGGCTTTAAGATCCCACCAAGCCCATATTTTCCTCCAAAGAATGCTTGCCACCGAACAAGAGAARAAACAATGGTCCAAAGTTTCAACACCTTTGCCGCRAAAGATGCACTCCAAAGATYGTAACGGAATTYCTCTTTTTGAAAGATTRAATCTTACCGGAATAGCCTCTTTAAGGAAGCGCCAAGTGAAGATGTTTACCTTCTTWGGAATTAAAGGACTCCAAAAAAACGGATCRTTGCTTCCAACATTTGTCTCAACYGCCCCTTRAATTAATTTGGACAAGAAGTTGACCGAAAAAATCCCGTTCTTGTTCCAATTCCACAACCAAATATCCTCACCCGAAGTATTGAAATCCACAAGAGAGAGTTGCCTTTCTAGGGCTTGAAGATCATCTAAGCTTCTACCCCTAATTATTGTTTTCCAATCCCAAGCACCATTCCAAGAACCATTAATATAAGTCCATTTGTCTTTGAAAGAAGCATTTTTATTCCTTTCCAATGCATAAAGTCTAGGGAAAAGGTCTTTCAACTTTGAGCCTTGTCCGATGCTCGCATCTTTCCAAAAAAGAGAAGAGGAATCTTTAGCAACCTTTTTTGTAAATGAAAGAATGACATTCTGACCTGCAATTTCCACATTTTTGCAAGTGTTGACAATAGAAACCCAAACGCTTTTTCCAACCAAAGGCCTATTTGAAAAAAGACCACCATCCTCACCATAAAATTTAGAAATGACATCCTTCCAAATCACATTAGAGCTGGACAAGAACCTCCATACCCATTTTGCTAACAAAGCAACATTTTTGGTTTTTAAACTAACGATACCCAAACCACCAGTCGACTTAGGGCTCAAAATTTTCTCCCAAGTAACCCAATGCAATTTTTTTTTCATCCTCCTTAAAACCCCAAAAAAATCTTCTCCTTATAGATTCCAAAGTTTTTAAAACTGAGTTGAACAGGGAAAAGAAGAACAGCGCAAGAGAAGATAACACCGACTGAATTAGAGTATATCTTCCGCCTATGGAGAGGCAATGAGACTTCCAAATTGAAAGCTTTTTAAGAAATTTATCTTCCACGACAGACCATGAAGCTTTTTTGTTCATATTACCTCCAACAGGAAGCCCCAGATAAAAGAAAGGAAAGGAAGAGGCCTTACACTTTAACATAACTGCCATATTATTGACTTCTGCCTCCGAGACACCAATACCAAAGAGATTGCATTTGGATAAATTAATGCGCAGTCCTGAAACATCATGAAAGCAGTTAAGAATATTAGTAAGAGTTACAAGATTTTTACGAGACCATTTTCCAAAAATTAGAGCGTCATCCGCAAATTGAAGGAGAGAAAGATTCCGGTTAGAATTCGCAAGCCGGATTCCCTTGAACAACCCCTGATTGCAAGCAGTCCTGATCATGATCTGTAAGACTTCCCCCACGAGCAAAAAAAGAAACGGAGAAAGAGGATCTCCTTGCCTGAGACCCCTWTTCATGCAAAACTCATCAGAAGGCGATCCGTTTATCAAAATAGAAGTGGAAGCCGATTTTAAGCAAACACTGATCCATTTCTCTCCAAAGCCCATTTGCTCCATAGTGTGAAAGAGAAAGTTCCAATTTACAGAATCATAGGCCTTCAAAATCCACCTTTATTTAGTTTTTTATTCTTTTGACAACTCTTAGAAAGTATACTTAAGAATTTAGTTATTTATTTTTTAGAAAATTTATTTTAAGATAAATATAAATAAAAATACGAACTATATGTCAACACCATGACTCATATTTTTGGCAACTCTTGCTGAAGTACTAATTTGCTACCTGAAATTTCTGTTTTTTGTCAAAAATAAAAACAAAAACTTAGAAGGTTTTTATCAAAGGCATTGAGCAGTAATGAAAATAAAAAAAACGGTTTTGTTTTTATAATATAATAAGTTCATTCTTCTAGAACCTAAAATTTTATATTTTAAAAAAGCAGTCATTTTAACCAGAAAACGGAATTCATATTTTTTAATATATTGTATTTAGAAAGAAAAAAAAAGTAATAACCAAAAATAATTCCATTAAATTTGTAGGTGTGAGCAAAAATTATATATGTGTATAAAAATTAATTACGTCAGCAAACATAAATCATGCACCACTTATTACACATGCAACTTCATTGCCATTCAATTCCTTTTTATTCAACACACTTCAAATTTATGTCCATCGTCTTCTTCAACGGGCTTTTTCATTTTCCGACCAATTCAATCCTCGATCCTTTCAGGAATTCCGTTATTTTCGCAGGGCCGGCGATGGAGGAGAAATTACAAAGAAAAAACAAAACCATGATCGGGAAATCACCGCCAGGAAACAAAATCAACGCCGATGCCAATGTACAACGGCAGCAGAACAAAAATATGACCGGGAACTCACCGCCACAAAATACCACCGCCAATTCATCCAACGATGGCAATGCACAACAACGACAGCAGAACAAAACCATGATCGGAAAGTCACCAGCAGGAAACGTCAATGTAAACTCATCCAAATCCAATGATGGCAATGTACAACGGCCGAACAAAACCAAGATCGGGAACTCACCTCCAGAAAACGTCAACGCCAATTCATCCAAGGATGGCAATGTACAACAACGGCAGCAGAACAAAACCACGATTGGAAACTCACCGGCAGGAAAGGTCAATGCCAATTCATCCAAATCCAATGATGGCGATGGACAACAACGGCAGCAGAAGAAAACCATAATCGAAAACTCACAGGCAGGAAACGTCAATGCCAATTCATCCAAATCCAATGATGGCGGTGTACAACAACGGCAGCAGAACAAAACCATGATCGAAAACTCACCGCCAGGAAAGGTCAACGCCAATTCATCCAAATCCAATGATGGCAATGTACAACGGCAGAAGAAAACCATGATCGGAAACTCACCGGCAGGAAATGCCAACGCCAATTCATCTACCGATGGCAATGTACAACGGCAGAACGAAACTATGATGGGGAACTCAACGCCAGGAAACATCAACGCCAATTCACACAACGATGGCAATGAACAAGGGCAGAAGCAGGCCGCCGGCAAGTTTATGAACAACAGCGATCATAATCATCCCAAGGATATCGTGGAGGAGCTGTCTTTTCGCCTGAGTAAAATGTCTCCGAACAACCCTCCTCTGCAATTGGAGGACAATGAATCTCCGACGGAGGATGACGTGTATTCATATGCATCGCGTGTATTCTTTGGTGCTTCGGCTCCCAACCAGATGTCTCCATTGACAAGGTCTCCATGGCAATCTTATGTAGAAAGATCGGTGCCTGATTGCTCTGATTCTCAATCTACTTATACCGGTTTAATGGCTTCTCTCGTCCGTGAAGAAGGCAATATATATTCGTTAGCAGCAGTCGGAGATTTGCTCTACACCGGATCTGATAGCAAGAACATTCGTGTTTGGAAGAACCACAAGGAATTTTCTTGGTTCAAATCGAATAGTGGATTGGTTAAATCCATCGTAATTGCCGGTGAGAAAATCTTCACCGGCCACCAGGACGGGAAAATTAGGGTTTGGAAGGTGTCGCCTAAGAACCCTAGCACCCATAAACGTATTGGGACTTTACCCACTTTTAAATCCATATTGAAGAAGTCCATGAAGCCAAAGAATTATACCGAAGTGAGAAGAAATCAAAACAAACTTTGGATCAAACATTTCGATGCGATTGCTAGTCTTAGCTTGAGCGAAGATCAATCGCTTCTTTATTCAGGTTCCTGGGACAGAACGATTAAAGTTTGGAGGGTATCGGATTTTAAGTGTATGGAATCAATCTCTGCACATGATGATGCCATTAACTCGGTGGTCACCGGATTCGATGGTATGATTTTCTCGGGATCAGCGGATGGGACGGTGAAGGCGTGGCGGAGGGAGTATCAAGGGAAGAGAACGAAACATATGTTTTTAGACAATTTGTTGAAGCAGGAATGTGCTGTGACGTCGCTGGTTATTAATCAAGCGGGCACGGTGGTTTACGGTGGTTCGTCGGACGGTTTTTTACATTTTTGGGAGCGAGAGAAGCTGTGGTCTCGCGGAGGGCTTTTGCGAGGTCATAAGCTGGCTGTTCTGTGCTTGACGGCAGCCGGAAATTTGGTTTTCAGCGGTTCGGCAGATACCAACATTTGTGTGTGGAAGAGAGAAGAGGGAGGAGAGCATAAGTGTTTGTATATGCTGACCGGACATTCTGGACCGGTGAAGTGTTTAGCGGTGGAGGATGAGCGGCGAGGGTCGGTGTGCCAGTGTAGTAACAGGATTTGGACTGTGTACAGCGGCAGCTTGGATAAGTCGGTGAAGATATGGAGGGTGTCTACAGAGAAGGCGGCGGAGGTGGAGAGTCAACAAGCAGCGGCGGCGGCGGCGGCGCAACGACCAAGCAGCTCGTCGTCACGGCCTATAAGCTCTTCAGGACAAATGTTATCATCGCATGGTCGACTAATAGCTAACTAGTAGCAGTTGGAGAATGTGACGTACAAATCCTTGTAAAACAACCATCAATCAATTTTTGCTTTCATGCTATTACTTATTAGATTTGAATTGATAGTGAAACAACGTTGACTAATTAATTAATTAGATAAATGGTTATCAAACCTTCACTATATAATTGCATCACACCAAATTCTGACAACTACGGTAACAATTTTATCTGGTAAGTGATATACTAACCATTGAGAACAACCCGATCAATCCAATATAAATCTATGTGAAATAATTTAACTCGAAATAATTCGATGTTTAATTGAATTGTAAAATTTTTAAACCATAGGTATTGAGTTGATATTGGGTACTGAAAGTATAGATTAACTGTAAATAAAACAAAATATAAAAGTATAGATTAACTGTACGAGCAATAAATAAAACAAAATATAAAAGTTTATGCAATATATTAATATACTGAAAGTCTTACAAGCTAACAAAAAAAGGTTTTAAAATAACATATGAGATTTATTGAAAAACCAACCGAAATAACAACCCTAGCACAAATTGATGTAGCAATAATTATGATTAACCTGTTAATTGCATGTTAAACAAAACACATAATTAACTAGTAACAACACACCAAAAAAAAAAATTAAATCTAAATAAGACATAAAACTCAAATACAGCTAAACAAATTAAAAACTTGAAGGGAGGGGATGTAAGTATATGGGTTTGTTTGTTTATCTCTTAATAGTTTCATTAAGTGGCGGTTTTTGAATTGTTAAGATGTGAATCTTGTTTGGCAAAAAACAATCTGCTTCTTAATGGTTCCAAAATCATCTGAATGATTTTGTATCATGGTCTCCCTTTACCATTCAGCATTCTAATTTCATTGTAAGCAATTACCAACCAATTATATTTCATTTTGCACTATATCATAAAAGGCTCTGAATCATTCTAACCACTTAATCATTCTACATCAAATCATTAAATAACTGCCAAACAACTCATCAATATGGCAATCCTCAACAATCAAAACTCAAATCCAAACAATCTCCCTTCCTAAAATCAAGAACAAAACAATATTCCCTAATTGGAAAGCAACAAACTTATCCAAATATATTATCTATATTATATTATAAATTTTTTTGACAAATAACTTTTAAAAACTATTTTTCATATATAAAATATTGTTTATTGATACATATTACTTAAGATTCAAAATTACAAATAAATTGTGGGTAAATACAACTTATTATTGCTTAATTTGAACTTGTGTAACTAACTACAAATAAACATAGTCAAATATAGGATAACATCTTATTTTAAATATAAACAATCTAAAACATAATTAGGATAATCATTAACATTTGAGCAAATACTTAATTATTATATTTATAAAAAATTATATTATTAAACCGAAAATAAATTACTTCATTATAAAATTAAAATAGTTTTGAACATTCATATTTTGAAAATAAACCCCAATGAACATTCATATTTTGAACGATAAAGTGTTAAAATAGTGAAAAAAATCCGGAAAAAACCCCAATGAACATTCATATTTTGAACGATAAAGTGGTAAATAGTGAAAAAAAATCCGGAAATATATTTTGTCAGTGATTTTTTAAACTAAAAAAA